GTCTGTGTGTGTGGGGCTGAGGGGCCTCCCGGCGGGGGCGGCGGTGGGTCGGAAGGGCCTGGACATGGCGTTGAGGGGCCGCCCCGCGGGAAGATGAATAAGGGCTGGCTGGAGCTGGAGAGCGACCCGGGTGAGGAGAGGGCAGGGCGGGCCTCTGGGGTTGGGGAGGTCGGAGGGGGTCGGGACACGGCTGCCTGACCACCACCCCATCCTCTTGTCGCCCTACCCAGGCCTCTTCACCCTCCTGGTGGAAGATTTCGGTAAGTGCCTCTCCCGCCCGCGCTACCCGTGATGTGGGGGCCCATCCCTGTGCCCTCGCCGCAGGGCCAGGGGCTGCCCTTCCCTACCGTTTTCCTTTTCCTGATTGCAGGAGTCAAAGGGGTGCAAGTGGAGGAGATCTATGACCTTCAAAGCAAATGTCAGGGGTGAGTGGCTGGACCGGTCCTTTCACCCAAAGGGCCGGGGACAGGCGGGAACAGTTCGCCTCAAGGGAGGCAGTGTCAGGAAATTCAAATTGTAAAATATAACCTACGGAAACTCCCTTCTCCTTGGATGCTCCCCTAATCAAGCTATTTGTTTTCTGTCTTCCCTCAGTGCTTCCCTTTAGGTAGTAGCCCTTCCCCCATCCTTAACCATCCTTGGGGTAACGTTCAGCTGCCTTTTCTGTTCTTGCAACAGGAAGTCCCTTGCAGCAGGAATCCCCAGGTCATACAGTGCCTTTTGTGCAACTGTGTAATTCATTAATAAGTTCTTATTTGAACTGTGGCTGTAATTTCTACACAAAGATCTTCCTGTATTGATTGATTCATGTAACAAGGTCCTTCCTAGGTGCCCAAACTCAGGGTCTTGTCCTGTTGATGCTACAGAATAGAGGTAAATAGAGAGACTACTATAGGGACTGAATCATTTTCTGGAAAAGAAGATACTAGTGTGGGTGGCTTTATTGGGGCTTTGCCTTGGGGCCCACATTTGAAAATTAGTGCTTAAATTCCTCATCAGACATAGTATTTGTTCTTGACTCACTTTGTGTTCTGACCTTGTTTCTGGCCTCTTGGTTCCAGCTTTTCTACTCAAAACCATAGATTTCATAAGGAGACTGGGAGGATTCTTGGAGCATCACAGTCAGAGCTTATGTTTGACTGTACTTGTGGCAGGCCTCTGGAATGTGAGAGTTCAGGGCCATGTTAGATATAGTATCGGGAAGAAGCCAAGGGAGAGATGGGTTCATGACAGGAGCACTCAAGTTTTGACACGGTGCAAAGGATTAGGGGAAAAAAGAGGGAAATGCTGATTTCCTTCTGCTCTTTACTCCCCCAGCCCTGTATATGGATTCATCTTCCTGTTCAAATGGATCGAAGAGCGCAGGTCCCGTCGCAAGGTCTCCACCTTGGTGGATGATACGTCCGTGATTGATGATGATATTGTGAATAACATGTTCTTTGCCCATCAGGTCTGCTGGACTGTGCTTGTTTGGAGGGTGGGATGCTGCCATTTTTTTTTTTTTTTTTAACTTGGAAAAGGGAAGTAGGAAAGGCAGGAGGAGGAGATAGTCAGATTCCAAGGGTTGTGGCTATAGAACCCCCTTGGCAAAAGAATCCAGCTTTTATTCATTAAAGGGAATATTTTTAGAGTAGGATAGTATCTCAGTCCATTCTCCATGTTTCCAGACACTTGGGGGATATTGAGTTAGTGCATGTTAAATGAACAAATGTTGGGTAAAGATGAGGGGAATTGATAAGCATTGTAGTTAAGATATGACTCCCTGTCTTACCCCCTCTTCCCAATGAATATGGTTTGGGGGAGCTTGGAGTGAAGGGTGCTATGTATGAATATTCTTGGTTTCACAGCTGATCCCCAACTCTTGTGCCACTCATGCCTTGCTGAGTGTGCTCCTCAACTGCAGCAACGTGGACCTTGGGCCCACCCTGAGTCGCATGAAGGATTTCACCAAAGGCTTCAGCCCTGAGGTAGGCTGCAGTGCCTTGTATCTGGCCCATTGCTGGCTAGGCAGATTTGATCATCAGGGCCATTAATATTGCTACCACTTGGTATATGTGGTACTAGTTAGCTATTTGTTAGCTATTTCTTTTTCAGATAGTTGTTGATATTATATTTGACTTGCAACTAATTGTGTAAGGCAGTTGGTTTGTTTTTTTGTAGTACTAGGATTTGAACCCCAAACCTTAGGACCCTCAGGTGTTTGGGGCCTAGTGACAGGGGGTGGGATAGATACTGAGAATATCTAACTCTAGCCAGGATTTCACCCTGCACTGCATTGCCTGACCAACTCATGACTCCCTGACTCAATCACACTTCTCTATATTCCTTTTCATCCTACCACTGAGTTATATTCCCAGCCCGATTTTTTTTTTTTTTTTTATATAAATGACACCATGCCAAAACCTTCTCTTTTGGTACTTTTGTTCTCCAGTATCTTCTGATTACTGTGCAAGGCCAGTATACCCATTTCTTTGGGGAACCCAGAACTCTCCACTATCCCTTTAGGAAAGTTCATCTATGTTGCTTCAGATTCTGGACTGTCTCTGGAGCTTTGCCCCTACCCAGGACTCCATTTGAAAAGCTATTCTGATGTGGCCTTATTTTATCCCTCCTAGAGCAAAGGATATGCAATTGGCAATGCCCCAGAATTGGCCAAGGCACATAATAGCCATGCCAGGTATGTGGGAGCTATGGTAGCTTATGTAGGGTGAAGGTGGGAGAGAGTGTCTTCTGTTAGGGCCCTGACACTTTGTCCTTCTCCAGGCCTGAGCCACGTCACCTCCCTGAGAAGCAGAATGGCCTTAGTGCAGTGCGTACCATGGAGGCGTTCCACTTTGTCAGCTATGTGCCTATCACAGGCCGGCTCTTTGAGCTGGATGGGCTGAAGGTCTACCCCATTGATCATGGTAGGCACCCTCATCTAGGGGCCTGTTGAATCTCTGTTTACTTCCTGGGTATCTGGGGCTTAGGACCCTCAGGTGCTTGGGGTCAAGTGGCAGGGGGTGGGGTAGATACTGAGAATATCTAATTCTAGCCAAGATTTCACCCTGCACTGCATTGCCTGACCAGCTCATGACTCCCTGACTCAATCACACTTCTCTATCTTCCTTTCCATCCTTGACCTGCCCAAACTCAGGATTTCCCACCTGCTGATTCCTCGTCTTGGTCTCCCTAGGGCCCTGGGGAGAGGATGAGGAATGGACAGACAAGGCCCGGAGGGTCATCATGGAGCGTATTGGCCTCGCCACTGCAGGGTAAGGATCCCGGAGCCTGATGTGCTATATACTTCTGGAACTGTACCCTCTTTGAGATTGTAAATCTCAAGGTCATGCAGTAATCTGGCAAGAACAACTTTAGATTCTGGGATTCCAACTTCTAGTCTTGTTTCTTGCTTGTGGCTCACTCTAGGATGGGCTGGGGGAGAAGCAGGCCTTGGCAGAGCCCTGTTTGGTCCAGATGTGCTGGCTCACTTCCTGATAGGACCTGATAAGTCATTGGAGGATACCAACTCAGGTGTCTGGGGTGCATGGTCAGCCACTGCCCACCTGTTGGGGTTGGGCCTATACCTATGGCTGCAGGTGTGACTGCAGGGAGCCCTGCCAGGATATCTGCCTCAACCTGATGGCGGAGCTGGGGTGGGAGCTGCTCTCACAGCTACGGCTGTGACTGCAGGGAGCCCTACCACGACATCCGCTTCAACCTGATGGCAGTGGTGCCCGACCGCAGGATCAAGTATGAGGCCAGGCTGCATGTGCTGAAGGTGAACCGTCAGACAGTACTGGAGGCCTTGCAGCAGGTAGATGCCCCTCTTCTCTGGCCCTGACCCAGCCCAACTTAACTCTCCTTGCCTTTGGTGCAGTGCAAGATCTGTCTCTGATTCCCAAATCACACCCTATTGTGAATCTGGGCTTGAGCTAACCACTCCTTTCCTTTGCTTTCTTTGTGGAACTTGGGAGGGAAGGGATAATGGCTTCTTATAGGAGGTTGTGGTTTGGCTTTTATTTTCCTGTGAATGGGTAGAACCAAGGCCATTGTGCTCTCTCAGCTTTTAGCTGTCTAGGGTAGAGGCTTGGCTCTGCCCTCCTCTGAGCCTTGGATTCTGTTTTCAGTTGATTAGAGTAACTCAGCCAGAGTTGATTCAGACCCACAAATCTCAAGAGTCACAGCTTCCTGAAGAATCCAAGCCAGCCAGCAGCAAGTCCCCCCTCGTGCTGGAGGCAGGCAGGGCCCCAGCAGTCTCTGAGGGCATCCACACAGGTACTGGGTGGGGAGTGTTTTGGGGCTTCTTTCCTGAGAAGAAGAGTCATCCCTAATAACTTGACCTGAGAGGCCCATACATACCAAGTCTTTCTCTGTAGAAGTACTTAAGCAATTGGCAATGCAGAGTCTTCTACCAGAGGCCTGAAGGCCCAATGCCTGAAGCTCTTTTCACTCAGAACATAGGAGGAGAGTAGTCCTTCCCTAACAGTTATCTGTAAAGGGCTGCCATTACCCCAGGCCCCTGTACCCTCTATAATGTACCCTTCCTTTCTTCTTTTCTCTAGAGGCCTCTTCTTCTTGCCTCCCTCTTTTTTCCATCTCCTCCTTCTCTCAGTCTTGCTGTGGGACCATGATTTAGAGCTTGCTGACTCCTATTCTCCTCTGGGAAGGGAGAAGAGCAGTGCTATGTTACAAGATTGGGGTGACTGTGGGCTTTTCTTGAGGATCTGACTGAAGGTCCTGCCTATACTCCTTGCCCTGTCTCAGACGGTGCAGAGGAGGTGGCTGGTTCATGCCCACAAGCTCCGACCCACAGTCCTCCCA